TACTTTACTCCCCACTCCACAAAAAAAAAAAAAAAAAGAAAAAAAGAAAAAGAAAGAAAGAAAGAAAGAAAACATTAATGCTAAAATTGCTTATTGAATTGCTTTTTTAAAGTTAAGAAAAGGTGATCAGGCATGATGGCTCAAGCCTGTAATCCCAACACTGTGAGAGGCTGAGGTGGGTGGCTTGCTTGAGCTCAGGAGTTCAAGACCAGCCTGAGCCAGGGCGAGACCCTGTCTCCAAAAGTAGTGGAGTATTGTGGCAAGGCACCTACAGTCCCAGCTACTCTGGAGGCTGAGGCAAGAGAATCGCTTGAGCCCAAGAGTTTGAGGTTGCTGTGAGCTGTGATGCCAAAGCACTCTACTGAGAGTGACATAATAACTCTTGTCTCAGAAAAAAAAAAAGTCAAGAAAAGGAAGTATATCATATGTGTGTGGATTTACCAAACCAGAATTTTGGAGAAAATCTGTCCATTGTTGTACTAAGAGAGACATTCTATGCCATTGCAAGGTTAAATAATAATGCTTAGAAAACCAGCAGAGCTGTGAGTTAGGAGGTGTAAGTCATGCCTGATTACTAAGAAAGGTATTCAATGGGGGTGGGGTTAATATTTTGTCTTCTTCCCAGTAATTATCTCAGTTACTCAAAAGTCTCAAAACTTGTTGAGCAGGTGGGTATTTTATATTTGTATAAATACACTAAAACCCACAAATCTCCCTCCCTCCCTCTCATAGACACACACAAAGTAACCTAGCAGCCAAGTCAAGCACTGCACTTGGCGTAGTAGACTTTTAGATATCAGTTTCATTGACTAAACTCTTTAGCTTCTCCATTTCTTATCAAAAATTCCCTTCCCTGAAGAATTTACTGTCAGTTTGCCTTTCTCAGCACATATTCCAAATGGTCTTCGATAATCACCCCTTTAGTTTTCTAATGTTCATTCTAAGGCATTATTACACTCTATTTCTTTTGCCACTCAGCAACATTCTGCTCCTTTCATTTCCTCTTTAGGTAAGCGTCTTCTGTGTTTCTGTTTGCTATTAAAATGTACATAGTTACAAAACAGGATGTATTATGTGGTCAGTTAATCAGCTTTCAAAGACGTCACACCAAATGAAACCAACCTCAGCTGTTATCGTATAAATTATTTCCTTATTTTATACAAAGTTTGTAAATTCCTTTGAATACTCAGTAAGTACCAAATATACTTAATAGTTTAATTGTATGGTAGGTTCCTAAAAATAAGAATTTATGCCTAGTTTGCTTATTGCAGTATTCAAACAGCAGGATGGCTTTATGGTGGCTCAGTTTTCTTCAACCACTTTCATCTAAAGATCTAAACCTGTGGCCGGTGCGGTAGCTCACGCCTGTAATCCTAGCACTGTGGGAGGGCGAGGCAAGTGAATCCTTTGAGCACAAGAGTTAGAGACCAGCCTGAGCAAGAGAAAGACCCTCCCTCCTAGTCTCTACTAAAAACAGAAAAATTAGTCAGGCACTGTTGTGGCAGGCACCTGTAAATCCCAGCTATTCAGGAGGCTAAGCCAAGAAGATCACTTGAGCCCAAGAGTTATAGGTTGCTGTGAGCTATGACTTTGTCTCCAAAAATAAAGAAGGGAAGGGAAGGGGAGGGGAGGGGAGGGAAGGGATCTAAACCTGTGTAAACTTAAGTCCTCACCCTCAAAGAGGTGTCCAACCTTTTTTCTTCTGTGCCACACACTGGAAGAAGAATTGTTATCTTGGGCCACACATTAAATATACAAACACTAATGAAAGCTGATAAGCAAAAAAAAGGCCCAGTGCATAATTTTCGTGATATCCACCACCACAGATAAATAGAACGTCCTCCCATAATCCACATGAAGTCACCCTTGGTTGAGTGTCCTTGTGTCATACCTCACAGCAACCTCTGGGTTCAAGTGATTCTCTCGCCTCAGCCTCACAAGTAGCTGGGACGACAGGAGTCCGCCACAACACCCAGCTGTTTTGTTTTGTTTTTTTACACACAGGGTCTCACTCTGCCTCAGGCTGGTCTCGAACTCCTCAGCTCAACCAATCTGCCCACCTCAGCCTCCCAGAGTGCTAGAATTATAGGCATGAGCCACTGCGTTTGGCGTAGTAGACTTTTAGTTATCAGTTTCATCAACTTAACTCTTTAGCTTCTCCATTTCTTGTCAAAAACTCCCTTTCCTGAAGAACTTACTGTCAGCTTACCTTGGTATCTCAGCTCATATTCCAATGGTCTTCGACAATCACCCCTTTAGTTTTCTAATGTTCACCCTAACGCCACTTTCTGCCTTTCTCTCCTTACCAAGTCATCCTCCCACAGTAACTCCTCTGAACCCATGGGGACACTGTGGGACCCCAGACTTGACTATGGAATTACAGCAAAGGACTCTCTTCTCCATTGGACCTTGCCATACAGCTATTACTAAAATCATTTCTCAGCTCAGCACCTGTAGCTAAGCGGCTAGGATTCCAGCCACATACACCACAGCTGGCAGGTTCAAATCCAGCCCAGGCCTGCCAAACAACAGTAACAACTACAACCAAAAAATAGCTGGGCGTTGTGGCAGGTGCCTGTAGTCTCAGCTACTTGGGAGGCTGAGGCAAGAGAATCGCTTAAGCCCAAGAGTTTGAGGCTGCTGTGAGCTGTGAACTCTTTTATGCCTAAAAGACAGCCATACATTTGTAAAGAGTTTAAGCCTAAAGAAATAATAGTGGAGGGCTAATTAATCTTCAATGTATCTCAAATAATTTTCCAAAGGAAGCCAAACTCAGAGCAACTGATTTTGTCCGCAGAATCACAACCCCAGATCCTCTCTCCCCCAGATATAACAGAGAATTTTCTTTAAGAATTCTTATTTGGAAAAAGGATACATCAAAAGTCAGCCAACAAATCAACTAAAATGTAACCCACATTTAGACCAGCTCTGCTTACTGAGAAAATATTGACAGAATAAATATGGTATGTGTCCAAAGAATTAAGTTGCATAGAGTATGTTTTATTCTACCAAGTCCTATCAGTTAGATTATATCTAGCTCCTATCAAACCAACCAACTGAAACGTGAAAAAATAATTTGATTTTTTACCTAAGAAGTTTAATTAAATTGAAAGCAATACAGACATAAAGAGTTTTTATAATACACGAAGCAAACAATTACCAAATACTAATGCTGCTTTTTGAAACAAGCCAATCAACAGATGGATAGCAAAGAAGTTACACTAAAGAACTCTTTCAAAATTGAGGCTGTTTTTTGGGGGGTGGGGGGAACAGTCTCACTATGTCGCCCTTGATACAGTGCCATCGTGTCACAGCTCACGGCAACCTCAAACTCTTGGGCTTAAGTGATTCTCTCACCTCAGCCTCCCAAGTAGCTGGGACTACAGGCGCCCACCACAACGCTATTTTTTGGTTGTAGTTGTCGTTGTTTAGCAGGCCTGGGCCAGGCTCGAACCCGCCAGCCTCAGTGTATATGGCCCGTGCCTTTCCCACTGAGCTACCGGCAAGGAGCCCAAGTTCAGACTGCTTTTAAACAAACAAAAAAGAGATACATTTCCCCTATTCTATCTTAAACGCTTCCTACGTGTAACTTATTTTTTCAAACATTTAATGACTCTCTTACAACTGACATGTAACATCAATTTTCTGCCAACTAGTTCAGAGTCCATTATCTCCACATCACTCAGCACCTCCTCCCTTGTGTGAAAGTCTGTTTAGAAATTATATCTACAGAAGATCTTGCTTCTGAAAATTGATATTTTTGCTTTTCTCCAATAAAGATTGAACCAGTCTTTTTTTTTTTTTTTTTACTTTAGCAGCAAGGAAATTTATGGCTACGTCTGAAACTCAAATTTATTCATCAACTTATAGCTTACATTTGAAACTCAACGTATTCATCTATAATAATAATCTACTCCTAGTTTTATTTTTGCCAGTAATTTGTACTCGTATTTGTTTTTTTGGTTTTTTTTTGAGACACAGTCTCACTTTGTCGCCCTCAGTAGAGTGCTGTGGTGTCATAGCTCACAGCAACCTCAAACTCTTGGGCTTAAGAGATTCTTTTGCCTCAGCCTCCCAAGTAGCTGAGACTACAGGCACCTGCCGCAACAACCAGCTATTTTGTTGTTGTTGTTGTTGTAGGTGTCATTGTTGTGTAGCAAGCCCCAGGCCGGGTTTGAACCCTCCTGCCTCAGTGTATGTGGATGGGCACTGAACCATGTATTTTAAATTTTTAAAAGTCCTATTTCTTGTAGATGGTTTTTATAAGCTAACTCAATACCTTTTTGTAACAAGATAAAGTATGAATAAAACATAAAACATTTCCTGACCTGTTTTCTGACACTGATAAATCCAAAATAGCTACATTTAGAAACTAAATAACCACAATTCACTAGTATATCAAATGAGTAGAAACTGTTCTTTAACGAAGTCATGCCATTGTACACTTTAATAACTTTACCCTTCGTACATTCTTATACTCTTGGAGTTCAATTTTTTACATACAAATCCACTTCTGGAACCAAATCAGAACATACATTTGACTTTGTATAATTAAACTGAAAATTAAAAGCTTCCAGGATGATAGGAGTTGGTGCACTTGACCTGACTTAGGAAAGAGCAGTTTGAGGAAGGTAGAAGATCTGTGGTCTTTGCTCATGTTAAGGTACCAAAAAGATGCGAATGGGTCAAAATTTTAGGAAAAATAAATAAATAAAAACCTTTTAGGAGATGAGAAGGCAAAACGTCAACATTTAAAAGAAAAACAGAACTTCCTTTTTAAGAAAAGTGAAAGGAAAAAATTATCTGATACATGTAAGGTTATCATTTTTACTCTATATTTTTAGACCTATATTTTTTATTCTATATTTCTAGAATATTTATTCTAGATTTTTAGAACGCCCCCTAATTTTCATGGCCATCACATTTCAAATATTTTCTCTCTTTCCCCATTCCCAGAGTGAAGCAACAGCTACAGGCTGGCTGCACCTAAAGTACATTACCTTCCTTTAAATGATGAAATGGGGCGCACAGGACAGCTCCCGTGCCATGGTCTTCCTCAGGCAGTGGCCTAACATCACCTTCACAACAGGCACCTTCCCAATGGCACGTGCAGGGGGAGGAACCCAGATCTCTACCCTCCGCAAACTGCTCTTTCCCAAAGTCAGGTCAAGTACAGCAACTCACTAGCAGAGACTGTATGCAGATTAGCAAATTACAGGTACACAGTGTTCATGTTACCCAACCATCCTGGCATCAGATTGAAACCCTGACCTGACTTGTTTAGTATCTTCACTCCCTGCAATCAAGTCTCTCTTTGGTTAAGGCTGAGCACTATTTTATTCAAATATCGGGGGGGGGGGTCCCAGAATATTACAGGGGTACACACATTTTGGTGATATAATTTGCTTCTGTACATTTTGAGTCAAAAGGCTGTAAGTGTGCCCTTCACTCAGAATGTGTGTGGGCTCTAAGCCCAACCCAAAATTCAAGCCAAAGACCAACACAGCTGCCACAGAGCAATCTTTGCTCATGAAAAAGTCCAGTCATTTCAAAGAGTATTTCTAGTATCTGCTGGCATAGAGTTCTCTTTTATTCTTTTTCTTCTTTTCACGTAAGCAAAATATATTCGATATTAAAAAAAGAAAGAAAGAAAAAGAGAAAAGCCAAGGACAAAAACTATTTATCCAGGTGGCACCCATAGCTCAGTGGATAGAGTGCCAGTCACATCCATGAGGCTGGCAGGTTCAAACCCAGCCTGGGCCTGTGAAACAACAATGACAACTACAACAAAAAAATAGTCAAGCTTTGTGGCAGGCACCTGTAGTCCCAGCTACCTGGGAGGCTGAGGCAAGAGAATCACTTAAGCCCAAGAGTTGGAGGTTGCTGCGAGCTGTGACGCCACAGCACTCTACTGAGGGCGACAAACTGAGACTCTGTCTCCAAAAAAAAAAACACTATTTATCCTAGAAATCTGCCATCCAGAATTAATCCTTGATAACATATTAGTGTATACAATAATTTTGCTCTATTTTTCCAAATATATATTTAAAATCAAAATAGGCTGATATTGTCCATCCTGTTTTGCATTCTGTTTTCTGTATTTCATAAGATATCAATACAATTTTTCTAGTAAATTTTATTCTAAAGTTATTTTTGGCTATTTTCAGTGTCCTCTATGTCTAAAACTCTCAGGAGATCTAAAATTTCTCCTGTTTCCTTTCCTCCTTCTCCCTCTCCACACATTCTCTGACAAGAACAGCACAACTAAAAGGCAACAGCCCTTAATTAATACAATGTAAACACTTTCAGAGAACTCACAATTGTGCTGTGTTCCATTTTCACAGCAATCATTTCATTTATATTGTAATTTGTTATATCATGAAAAAGTCACTACATCTGCCCATCAAGACCAAAGGCAGAGCCAGATTACTGCCAAGTCTATGGTGTGTCTCTCCTACGACCCATCGCATGAAAGTAACATCAAAATGAAAATAACACCAAACAAAGTAAGTATAAAAACCACTAAAAGGTATGATTTTTCCTCCCAGGAATACTACTTCATTGTTTTTTAAAAATGATAAAATACTAAATTATTTAAACTTTTTTTTCTGTTGATGCTCCTGGCTTATGCTTAAATAAATGCTTAGACAGCCTGTTAAGCACTATTCCCAGGGATTTTGTTCTAAGAAGCAACATTAAGAGATTGAATTCAGGTTCTAAAATCAAAATCAAAATTTCCATACTTGAGTTTACAGATTTTAGTGAGGCATATTTTTAAAAGGAGAATATTGGCCGCGCATGGTGGCTCACACCTGTAACCCTAGCATTCTGGAAGACTGAGGTGGGCAGATCGCTTGGGCTCAGGAGTTCAAGACCAGCTTAAGCAAGAGCAAGATCCTGTCTCTACTAAAATTAGAAAAATTAGCCAGGCGGTGTGGCAGGCACCCACCTGTAGTCCCAGGTACTTGGGAGGCTGAGGTAAGAAGATTGCTCAAACCCAAGAGTTTGAGGTTGCTGTGAGCTATGATGCCACAGCTCTCTGCACAGGGTGACAGAGTGAGACTCTGTCTCAAAAAATAAAAATAAATAATAAATAAATAAATAAACAAATGGAGAATATTAACTACCTATTCAAAGTTGTATTATTTATATGAATCTTTGTTGCAAATACTTTATGCTATGTTTGAAATTATACAAAGTTTATTTACTGAGATATCTGCTATGCTTTCATTAGGTCAATAAGCCAATGATATCACTTACATTAAATGATTTTATGGAGGAATTTCAAGTGTCTTATTTGTCAAGTCTTCACATTTCAATTAAGAGAGACAATTTGCTTCCAAAAAAATTTAATGTTGAGAAGTGTCAACACACTAATGACAGCGTTAGTAATTAAGAGCCCAGGCTCCAGAATCAAACAGGCTTACACTTGACTAGCTGTGGGATCTACACCTCTATTCCTCAGTTTCTTCATGAAAAACATATTTTCTTACTGAGTTATAATGAGGATTATACAACATAACATATATAAAGTACTTAGAACAGTGTATTTAGCCTTCAATAAATATTAGTTTATATTATCATTATTCATTGCTATTATTACATATTTTCATAAAAGGTTCAAAGCCATAGCACAGTGGTTACGGCGCCAGCCACATATACCAAGGCTGGCAGGTTTGAACTAGGCCCAGGCCAGCTAAAACAACAATGACAACTGCAACAAAAAATAGCCAGGTATTGTGGCGGGTGCCTATAGTCCCAACTACTTGGGAGGCTGAGGCAAGAGAATCACTTAAGCCCAAAGGAATCACTTTTGCTGTGAGCTGTGATGCCACAGCACTCTACTGAGGGTGACATAGTGAGACTCTGTCTCAAAAAAAAAAAAAAGGCTCAAAACCTAACTTCCCACACCTTTCTCCTCTCACCAGTAAATATACTCTCATGAGATCACAAAAATATACATTGGTATATTGAATTCTTCCCTTATAATTTTCATACAAAGTGTTTTATTCCAGTTTTCTATCAAAAATCAAATGAAGTTTACTATTTAACCCTTCATATAACTTACCTATCCTATTTTTCATTTAATTGACAGCATGTTATGAGATATTGTTTACATACAGCATTTACCAGTATAAATATGCACTAAACATTATATAGATATATTAAACAGTATCAGGAAATCACAGGCTTTCAAAGAAAAAAAAGACAATGAAAGTTGGAATTGGCTCGGCGCCTATAGCTCAACCGGCTAAGGCGCCAGCCACGTACACCTAAGGTGGTGGGTTCGAATCCCCAGCCCGGACCCGCCAAAAACAACAATGACGGCTGCAACCAAAAAATAGCCGGGCGTTGTGGCGGGCGCCTGTGGTCCCAGCTACTTGGGAGGCGGAGGCAGGAGACTCGCTTGAGCCCAGGAGTTGGAAGTTGCTGTGAGCTGTAATGCCACAGCACTCTACCCAGGGGGACAGCTTGAGGCTCTGTCTCAAAAAAAAAAAAAGAAAGTTGGAATTGGAAGTAGTCCTAATATTGTTTTTAAATTTAAATATTATATCTCACATATTCTTAATTTTAAAAAGAAATCTAAATGATATTTTTATAATCTATGAATAAAATAGATTATCTTAAACCATGATATAAACTTTATTCTAGACTGAAGAACTAAGTGTTCTCAACCAGAACTCAGGAAGCATTGGAAAGATGAACTCCACCATGAGTTTGCCTGGGGTCATTTTAAAACCCTACTAATCGAGAAATACTACAGTACAGATATTTTTTACTGTTTTGAGAGAGAATAGAAATTGCTACTATAAAAACTATGGTTTGTTATCTAAAAGATAGAGGAAAGTGGCAGATATAATGAAAATAGCAGCCAGGCTTTGGACCCCAGGGCTTCCTATCAACTTGCTTTCTTTGTCATAGATAAAACAGCCTGCTTTCACTCAGTTCTCGTAGAATACATTTGATAATGATGAAAAAGATTTATTTTCCCACTAAACATTCCAATGACCCTACTAGTTTCCTGCACTGTTTATACTTACATGGTCAGGAATATGAAGAGCTTATCAAAAAAAGCACTCTCAGAATAAAACACACAGCTCCAAAGAATCGAGTCTAATCGACAAGGCTCTAAAATGTTCAAAAATGCAAACCCAAAGGCAAAGAGATCGCTTATTCTACATAACATCGATACTACCCCAAAAGAATAACCTTCACTTAAGTGAATTTATCACATTTAATATTTTTTTTAAACCTAGGAGATGGCGCCACGTTCATACTTTATAGCGTAGGAAACTGAGTCTCAGAGAGGTTAGGTAAAAGGCCCAACATTATAAAGTTAGTGAGATAAAGGCGCAGGACTTGAATTCACAACTTTCTGCCTACACAAGTAATGATAAGGAAGCTGCTGTAAGTGATCCTTCTACTCCAGTGCAAATGGCCCTGGGCACTAGGACTATAGGACCAAGGTCTCTCCAGTGCTCCTTCCCAGCTCCTTCATGCCCAACACTAGAACACAGGACACTGGATTCAAGTTATTTTTGAACACAGTTGATTGCTTAAGAATGAAAATCGATTCTTTACACGTCTCACCTCAGATTCACATGGGAACGCTCTCTGTGCTATCTTCTATGACTCAATTAATAAATGAACAACATTTTCTGAAGACTTTGAAATATAACTATACCATAAGTTACCTTGTTTATAAGTGCCGTGTAAAACAGTATAGAAGAGATCACTTTAGTACCTGCTCCCAGAATGTTCTTACATTACAATACATTATTACACTTAATTTACATGAAATCACCTTTACTAGTCTATGAGTTTTGATAACAAAATTCTGTACTTCTTCTCAGCCGTAGATAAAATATAAGTGTTCACCAAACACTTGGGGAAAAGAGAAATGAACAAAATGATGGTAACTTGAACCTTAAGGAACAGATTAAGATTTAGAGAAATGGGGGGAGGGAAGAAGGGTAAGTACATTGCAACAAGGTGAATGGTAACCAGGCAGAACACTGATGGTGAAAGGGATAGGTCCGAGCAGAAAGAAGATTCATGTGACCAAGCAGCGAAATGGGGAAGATCTGGTTCCAGACTAGGGGGGTTAGGACTTTGTTTTCTGAATTAGGACAGTTGTTTTTAAACCTTTAGTTTAAATTCAAAAGAAAACTTCATT